ACTCTCGTCACCTCGTGCGTACGTAGCCCCCACAATTAGTAACAATTATTTAATTTTAATCACCTATAAGGTAATTTTCCCCTCACAAGATTAGGGAAGAGACTTACCTCGTCTTGCTCCAATTTAATCCACTAGAAGACCTTTTCCACGACTATCCAACTATGTCTAGATCGAATCTAGCCAAAATAATTCGATACAATCACTAAAAATTATAGGAATCAATTCTATAAGAAAATATTACATTTTTAATAAAAATTTCGAAATTTATTAAAAATTCGTTTGTGGGGCCCACATCTCAGAATCCGGAGAAAGTTACGAAATATGAACGCCCACTCAACCACGAGTCTACCCATACCAAAATCACTAAATTCCGATAATAATTCGGCCCTCAAATCTATCCAAGAGGGTTTTCAAACTTTTCCAACCCAATTCACCAATTAAATGATAAAAATAGTGATGGATTCAGGTAATTTAACCAATATTGAGTTAAGAACACTTACCCCATTATTTTCTCTGAAAATCTTTCAAAAATCGCCTAAATCCGAGCTCCAAATCATTAAAAATGGAAAATGGGATGAAACCCCATTTTCAGAACTTAAACTCTCTGCCCAGTGATTTCTTATACGCGATCGCGAACTTCCTCACGCGATCGCGTAGCACAAATTTTTCTGCCTAGAAAATAACTCTAATCGTGAAAAATCCCACGCGATCGCGAAGCACAGTTTCCGTAAGCCTACGCGATCGCGAGCCTCCTCACGCGATCGCGAAGCATTAAGCGCGTGGTCAACTTCTGCTTCGTTTCCTCTTCGCGAACGCGGCCTTAACCACGCGTTCGCATAGCACAACTGAATCCAACCTATGCGATCGCGGACTTGCCCATGCGATCGCATTGAACAAATTCTCAGCTGCCAAATTAAGCCTACGCGATCGCAACCCAATCCACGCGATCTCGTATAAGGAAATGAGAAGAAAATTTCCAGCAGCTATCAGCAATGTTCCAAAAGCCAAAAAATGATCCGTTAGCAATCTGAAACTCACCCGAGCCCCTCGGGACCTCAACCAATTATACCAACAAGTCCTAAAATATCATACGAACTTAGTCGGAACCTCAAATCACACCAAACAACGCTAAAATCACGAATCATCCTCCAATTCAAGCTTAATGAAACTTAAGATTTTCAACTTCTACATTCGGTACCTGAACTTATCAAATCAAGTCCGATTGACCTCAAATTTTGCACACAAGTCACAAATGACATAACGGAGCTATGTAAATTTTCGAAACTCGATTCTAACCCCGATATCAAAAAGTCAACTCCCCGATCAAACTTCTAAACTTAAATTCCTATTTTAGCCATTTCAAACCTAATTTAACTACGGACTTCCAAATAAAATTCTGAATACGCTCCCAAGTCCAAAATCACCATACGGAGCTGTTGGAATAGTCGAAATTCTATTTCGGGGTCGTTTTCTCAAAAATGTTGACCAAAGTCAAACCTGGCATTTTAAAGCCAACATAAGGAACCAAGTGTTCCGATTTCAACCCAAACACTTCCAAATCCCGAACCAACCATCTCCGCAAGTCATAAATCATTAAAAGCACATACGAAAAGTTTTATTTTAGGGAACGGGGTTCTAAAAGTTAAAATGGCCGGTTGAGTCATTACACCACTAGTGAGATTATATTGGGTTGTTGTTGTTGTTGTTGTTGTTGTTGTTGTTGTTGTTGTTGTTGTTGTTGTATTACTATATATTATATGTATATTGGCTGCGATCCCCACTCCGCAGGTACGATTACACCAGAAGCTGTAGAGCTTCAGCATTTCTCTCAAACTTCAAATCGTTCCATTAACCATCCGAAATCAACACGAGGCCCCCGGGACCTCAACCAAACATGCCAACAAGACTTAACACCTCATACGAACTTAGTCGAGCCTTCAAACCACCTCGAACAACATCAAAAACACAAATCACACATAGATTCAAGCTTAATGAACTTTAAACTCCCATTTTCTACAAACGATATCGAAACCTATCAAATCACATCCGATTGACCCCAAATTTTATACACAAGTCACAAATGACACCACGGACCTACTCTAACTTTTGGAATCAAAATCCAACTCCGATATCAAAAAATTTACTCCTGATCAAACTTTCCAAAATCACCTAACAGAACAGTCAAATATGTTAAAAGCTCTTCATTATATCACCTCATCAAATACAACCAAGGTAAAGTAGCACGACCATATTTGCTAGCATTTAATTTTGTAGGTACCCTTAAGGTAAATATTTATCGTACCTAGCGTTCATACCAAATCAAGCACATAAAAAACTTTTTGTATTCCGTTTCAAAAGTACTAGAAACTTTAAAACCCTTTTAGCATAACGGAATTAATACTGGGCGGACATCCGCGCAACAAGTAATTTAATTCATAATGTTGTCGAGGATTATTTATTTATTTATTTATTTGCTAATTTTTTTTAAAAAGAAGTATCAAAGAAAGAAAAAAAAAAGGAAGAGTGTACTTCTTAGTGCTAGTACGTTTTATGTATTAAATAGTGTTTGATTTTGTTTTCTTTCAAGACGCTCTACTATCATAGTGCAAGGTATTTGTACTACTTGCACTATGATAGAAGAAAATAGAAAAAGAATTTTAACTTTTATATAATGACATATAAAAATATTTGTGCCCAATCAGGTCATACAAAAGATATATGACAAAGTACGCACCTCAATCACCCTGCCTGTGTGAATTGAACGCACTTAAAAGTACAACCAGCTTAAGCTGGTTTCTGTGCAACAGTCCACCAGTAACGGAAGAGAGGGTTGTCGTACATACAAGAGTCTTCCAGTTCTTACGGAAACTCTTTCTTACCAGTCAATCATCTTCTTTAGTAGGTTTATCTATAACATCTGGTGGTGCCCTCGTGGGCACGTTCCTCTCTGGGGCTGTTGCGACAAAACAAAACTTTTCTTCCCCTCCAACCGTGAGTCCGGACTGTCGCCGCGAAGTTGAGTGAACTTAATCGTANGTAAATAAACGGTTAAAGAATATTACGTCCAATTATTCCCATATTTTTCCTGACCGTAATAAGTGATAATCTAACCTAGAAAATAACATAGTCTGCTACAACACATTAAAATACACAAATAATGTAATTATGGTCAGTCATCAGAATTGCTGAGGAGTTGTCGAGCTCGGACTGTGACCTGCAAACGTGCAAGGGACTGCATACAATGGAGAGCAATGCGTGCTTGTCTTCTTACACATACTCCACGTACCACTGCTTGAAGCTTCACTAGGCTTTTCAATGCCTTAAACATCCGTCTTGCCTTCATTAAAACGCATACGATCAGACCTCTCTATAATAATATTTTATTATAGCAGTCAAAACTAAGTTTCTTTTAGAACCAGTTTTCCATGTTATGTTATACTCCATATATTCTCTATAACAATATTTCATTATAGCAGCAAAAACAATTCGGAACAAATAATATTGTTATACAGAGGTTTGATTGTATAAGCATAATCATCAATACATACATTGCAAGTTTCAAAGGTAAAAGTTAAAATGGTTGATTTTTATGTATTTAGTTTATTGCACTGAAGTATAAAATTAAACTTTGTAACATAAGGATAGCTTAATTATGTCTATATATCACATAAAAATTTAAAGATGCTGAAAAATGTTAAACTTGGTCCCAGAAACACAAGTAAGCTGTCACTTTAGCAACTCATCTTACAAAATATCCGTATGGTATCACAACCGCTTTATAGAATTAGAAGAAAAATAATTTTTCGACCAACGTAAAATAAAAAATGAAAATCCATGGTGTACCATACGGTGAAAGACAACTGTATATTAGGTTGGTTGGAAAAAGGGATTTTTCTTTTTAAGTTGTGTCACGCGGATATTATATGAAGAGTTATGAAGTCACGACATTAATATGACAATTTTATACATTTGACAACCTTCTTGCATTTTTTATGATGACATTTATTCCCTTCTTTTCAATTTATGTGAATATGTTTGACTATGCACGAAATTTAAGAAATAAAGATTTATTTTTTTGAAACTTGTGATCCGAAATAATTCATAAAATTTTGTGTGGCTAGAAGACATTTCATTAAGAGTGAAACAGAAAATTTAAAGTTGAACTATTACTAAATATAGAAAGGTATCATTCATTTTGATGTCACATAAAAAGGGACGGTGAGAGTAATATTTTCGACCTTTTTTATTTTTTATGATATATAGCTATAGTCGAGTTCTTTCTCGTTTACAAAAAATCAGTTTTATGATTTTAATGCAATAAACTGAAAATTGAATTACCCAAAATGAAATTAAGAAGACAAACTATAAATAGCAAGGAGGGGCCGAGATTAAGTAAAACTTACAAGGTAACCCCTAAAATAAGATTGGATAGCAATGGCCGCCATCTCCTCTTTAGACAGAAAATGGATGCCACTATTATCTGCAGCAGATTGAGCATTTGCACTGCTAACCCTATTAGTAATGGTGTTGTTATGGACAATAATGATAGTTGTTTTTTGAGGGGGAGATGGCTGGTAAAGCTTCTTTCGAACTGTGCCAAGAAATTTTTTCCTTGACATCCTCATGTTTGATAATAGTGTTTTCTGTTTTTTGTCTGCAGTTTCTGGCTAAGCTTCTTTAATTAGCAGTTTTTTAGTTGCTCATTTTGGAAATAATAAAGGGAGTGTGGCCAACATGATTGTTAAGAGTTGAGAATTGGACAATGGTGTTGAGTGAACGTGGAGGGATGAATTTTATTTAGTAATTAAAGTGCAAAGTTTAAGTATTTCAAGAGTCAATCTAGGCGACCTCAAGGGAAAAGGTCAATTCTCAAGAACCACAATTTGAACCTTGCGGACCCAGGATTTAGAGCTAGCGGGTGGGTATTTGCATTCAACGAAAATTTGCTTTGTATATAGAGTGTCACTATTAATATATCACTATTTTTTAAAGCCATATACATGTATACATCAAATTTTTGCCGAACTTTACGGTTGCCGTGACCCCTTATTCTATAACATAAGTCCGCCTCTGAATTTCTACTGCTAGTACTATATAAAAATCTTATTTTTATCCTCTATTATACTATGAATTTAGAAATCGTCTCGTATTTGCTCGTATACTAAAAGGAACTACAACTTGAAGTATAACGAAGAATAATTTTATATCAGTCACGGATCATTTTGGACTTTTTTCCAAAGTATTTTAACACGTGAAATTCATCTGGTCATGCTGGAAATCCGTTAAAGTTAAGAGCAAGACGATTTGTTAATCGTAGTAAAGGCGTAAAATTTTGATATTTTGTATAGCAGAGGTTTAAATTTAGACCGTTTCTTTTACGTGAAAAAAGAAAAGTGCCTATCCCAACACCAGGGGTTGTTGATGTTAGAATATGGCCGGCCATGACACTTTCAAAGAACAATGAAACACCTACTCAGTTGAGCCAAAAAAGAAACGGAAAGTACTAATTTTGGTCCGACTAACATCAGCAAATGTGCGTAACCACTTCCTAATATTTAGAATATTGTAACGACCCAAATCCCATAATAGATCACGATGGTGACCAACGATAATGTTAGGCAAGCCAACGCATGAACCTCCAATTTAACTATCTATTTTAATTTTTAAAATCAGGAATTTCATTAAATACACAGAATTAAATCCCATAGGAGTAGAAGAACTCTCTCACTCGCGAAGATACATGCGAGCCGAGATGACACATAATTACCGTTAATCGATATTTCACAAAGTACAAAGTAAGAGACTCGATCAGTAAATTTATCCTAGTCTCAATCTCTGTCATAAATATAAATAATTAAACAAATAAGGTTAATTCAAATAGTACATATAAGGCATGATGTGAATCTAAGTCTACTCGGACATGAACATGAATCTTGCTACGTACGGACTCTCGTCACCTCGTACGTACGTAGCACCCACAACAAGTAGCACATAGCAATTAAAGCACCTACGTGAATAATTCCCTCTTACAGGATTAGGCAAGAGACTTGCCTCGCTTCCAAGCTAACTACTCGGGTCTCTAACCTCACTAATTGCCTCGAACCGATGACGAGCAATCCGAAACTAGACAAAGCTCGTACAAACCAATCAGTATATGCTAAAAAGTTCATAATGTAACTCTTAGAGTAATCTCCCAACCCCGCTCAAAAAATCAACAAAAGTCAATCTTGGGCCCACGTGTTTTCGATTTTTTTTTGAAAATAAATATTACTCATGACATCACGAACTCAAATATATAATTTATTCCCAGTTCCATAATCAATTTCGTGATCAAATCCCGTTTTTACTAAACCCTAGGTTTTCCAACAAAATCCCACACTTTCACTAATTTCTATGTTAAAATCTACCCATAATCCATGTATTTAACTAGTAATTGGTAGAAATAACTTACCTTGTGATGTTTGATGAAACTTTCCCTCAAAAGTGCTCTCAAATTCGTCCAAACCCAAGTGAAAAGTGAGAGAAATGAACTAAGTCCCGAAATAAAATGTAATATGCCCAAGTCTTTCCTCTTCGCGATCGCGGAAGTACTCTCGCGATTGCGAAGCCCAAAACTTCCACCTGGCCAAACTCCTCTTAGCATTCGCGACCTCCAAGTCGCGTTCATGATGCCTCCTGGCCCATACCCTTCGCGTTCGCGGTCCCTGAGCCGCATTCGCGAAGACTTAACACCTACCATGCCCATTATCCCCTTCCTTCGCTTGGACCTCCACCTTCGCAAAGGATAGCCAGGTCCTCCCCCGCACTCGTGGAGCTTTCTTCGTGTTCACGATGAATAACCAGTTGTTCCTCCAAAAATCCTTTTTCGCGATCGTGAAATACCCTTTGCGATCACGAAGCAGACTAGTACCAGCAAAAATCTGCAAATTCCAACTTTGCTCCGGGTGATTTGAAACTCACTCGAGCCAACTGGGACCTCGTTCAAATGTACCAACAAGTCCATAAACATCCTACGGACCTACTCAAAGTTTCTGAATACGTAAAATAACATTGAAACTAAAAATCATACCTCAAAACCAAATTAATCAACTTTTGAACTTCAACTTCTTCCAGCTAACTCCGAACGCAAACAATTTAACCTTAGACAATGTTAAATGATGCAAAATTTTACATACAAGTCACAAATCAGTATACGAACCTATTCCAAGACTCAGAATCCTAAACGGATATCGATAGCACCAAAGTCTACTTCAAATCAAGCTTAGAAAACTTTAAAACCTTCAAGACACCAACTTTCATTAATAAGCGCTGAAATGCTCCCGGTCCACCTGAAACTTAATCCAAACATATGCCCAAGTTCAAAATCATCATACGAACCTATTAGAACCTTCAAATCTCGATTTCGAGGTCGTTTAATCAAAGTGTTGACTCAAGTAAAACTTGGCCATCTTAGGCCACTATTATGCAACTAAGTGTTTCGAATTCAACCCGAAACCTTCCAAAACCAAACCAACCATCTCCATAAGTCATAAAATAGTAAATGCACATACATAAAATCTTAAATAGAGAAATAGTAATCTATAAAGCAAAACGACCGGTCAGGTCGTTATATTCCCCATCTCTTAAACAAATGTTCGTCCTCGAATGGGTTTAGAATCATAGCTGAAGTGCCGAATAAGTATAGATATCTGCTCCTCATCTCCTCCTCGGTCTCTCAAGTAGCCTCCTCGACTGGTTTACCCCTCCACTAAACCTTCACTACTGAAATCTTCTTAGACCTTAACTTGTGGATCTGCGTGTCAACAATGGTCACTGGCTCCTCCTCATATTCCAAGATCTCATCTAGCTGAACTGTATTGTAATCTAACACATGTGACTTATCGGCATGGTACCTCCGGAGCATAGATACGTGGAATACCAAATAAACTCTCGATAGACTAGGTGGCAAGGCAATCCTGTATGCAACCTCTCCAACTGGCTCCAATACCTCGATTGGACCGATGAACCTCGGACTCAGCTTGCCCCTTCTTCCGAACCTCATGATGCCCTTCTTGGCGAGACTTTCAAGAGAACCTTCTCACCCACCATAAATGATAAATCATGCTCCTTCTGATCCGCGTAACTCTTCTTCCTAGATTGTGCTGCGCGAAGTCGCTCCTGTATCAACTTTACCTTATCCAAGATATCCTTTACCAAATCAGTACAATATAACTTAGCCTCATCGAGCTCAAACCAGCCGATGGGGAAACGACATCTCCGACCATGCAAAGCCTCAAAGGAGATATCTCGATACTGGACTGATAACTGTTGTTATAAGCAAACTTGGCCAATGATAAGAATCGATCCCACTACCCTCCGAAGTCAAACGCACATTCTCTGAGCATATCCTCCAGAATCTGAACTTTCCACTCTGACTGCCCGTCGGTCTGCGGTTGAAAATTCATGTTGAGCTCTACCCGTGTACCCAAATTACACTATACAACTCTCCATAAGTGTGAAGTGAACTGAGTACCTCTATTTGAAATAATGGAAATAGGCACGCCATGCAACCGGACAATCTCCTGAATATAAATCTGGGCCACCATCTCTGAAGTCTATGGAGTCATCATCGAAATAAAGTGTATAGACTTGGTCAGTCTGTCGATAATGACCCAAACATCATCAATTGTTTTTAACGTCCACAGTAGACCAACCACGAAATCCATAGTGATACGCTCCCACTTCTACTCTGGTATAACCATCTGTTGAAGTAAGCCACCTGACCTCTGGTGCTCGTACTTAAACTAGTGGCAATTCATACATCTCGCCACATACTCAACTATGTCCTTCTTCATCCTCCGCCACCAGTAATGCTGCCTCATGTCACGATACATCTTCATGGCACCTAGATGAATAGAATAACGTGAACTGTGCACCCCCTCTAGAATCATCTCCGTCAGGCCATCAACATTGGGAACACATAAGCGACTCTGGATTCACAGCACACCATCATCTCCGATAATAACCTCCTTGGCATCACCTCACAGTACCATCTTCCTAAGAACTAGCAAGTGTGGATCATCATACTGACGATCCTTGATTCGCTCGAATAAAAAAGACTGGGCCACAACACATGCAAGCACTTGGCTGGCTCTGAAATATACAGCCTCACAAGTTGGTTAGCTAAGGACTAAATTTCCAAAGCCAATGGCCTCTCCTCTGCTGAAATGAATGCCAAACTACGCATACTCTCAGCTTTTCTTCTCAAGGCTTTCGCAACCACATTCGCCTTGCCCGGATGATAGAGGATGGTAATATCATAATCCTTCAGTAACTCAAGACATCTGCGCTACCTCAGATTAAGATTCCTCTGCTTAAACGAATGCTACAAACTGCGGTGATCGGTGTATACCTCACACGACACTCCATAAATATAATGCCTCCAGATCTTAAGAACATGAACTATCGTAGCCAACTCCAAATCGTGCACATGGTAATTCTTCTTGTGGGGCTTCAACTGACGTGAAGTATATGAAATAACTCGCCTTTCCTACATCAGTACACAACCCAAACCAACGCGTGAAGCTTCATAATACATAGTATACATCCTCGAACCGAAGGGCAAAACCAACACTAGTGTTGTAGTCAATGCGGTCTTGAGCTTCTGAAAGCTCACCTCGCAATCATCGGACCATCTGAATTAGGCACCCTTCTGAGTCAATCTAGTCAAAGGAGATGCAATAGATGAGAAACC